CAGAGAGCAAATAAAAAACATGAAATTTATTAGAATTAATATTCTCTGGTGACAGAATAAACTGGATATATGGGTCAGATGGGCAAACTTTCACTGACTGCCTTTATGGACAACACTGCAAAGGATGCCCACACCCATGATTCAACAGTGGTTTTAGTGAACACATTATAGGCTTTTCTTTTTCTTTTTATAATATTAGAATATTTGAAGGTAAATGCAGAGGTCGGAATCAGACACTAAAAACTGAGCTGGAAGCAGATGCATAAGACAGGTGTGACGTAACGTGCAACTGAAAACGTAATCCCTAACCCATGGCAAAACCTAGTTTGTTTTTTGGGTCAAGATCACCATGACACCAAAAGGAATGGATATGAGATTCTCCCCTTGGCTGGTAGCCAGTTCTCTGCTAATTATAACCTAGAACAAAACATTTTTTCTAAGAATGGAGTCTTAAGTGGATTCGTTTTTCCTGAGGTATTCTTTCCTTACAAACTCGACTGTTAGTTCATTGGCTCTACAGCTTCAATTTGTCAAAGAAAAAGGGACACAGATGGTCATAAATGCGTCTGTACTGAACAGAGGCCTCTGTGCAGGCCCATTTACTTGGACATAATTTTTGCAATTTTAACAAAATGCACTTTTCAGTGGGCTCTGACATCTTCGTTATTCTACAACATGAGATAATACCTTTTCATAAAGCAATTTGAAAACTCAACATTTTTTTCTGACTATAACACTGGTCCAACTGAGCATTCCTATACAGATTAAAATAAGAAGCATCTAGTGGCAACCAAAAAGTGGTGGGATTTTTAAAATTATTTTTTAAAAACATTTTCACAGCAAAGGTATACCTCTCAGTTGCTATACAGACGCTGGTCATAAACTGTGGCTTGCTTGTTCAGACTTCTTTGCTTTGTGTTGTTATAATATTGATATTTAATAGGAAAATAAACTACATAGACTTTTATCTGTATGCATCCATTTGCAAATTTCCTTACAAAAGAGGACAGAGCACATAGGCATTCACAAATGCTATGCCATTTCTGTTAAAATTGGTATCTATACATTATACTACAGTATTAACAATTTTTTGTTCTACCCATTGGGTAGGATATGTGCATAATATATTCAAGTTCTATACAGCACCTTACAAATAAAAACATAAGAGAAGACAGACAACTGAGAAAGCACCATTGTGAGTAGGCACAACAAAGGTGGGGGCACAGCGTGCGGTGGAGGGGGCACTTGGTGCCTCTGTCTGCTGAAATGAGGACATGAGACACCTTGGTTGCTTAAAAACTACTGACATGCAGAGCTCTTTGAAATGTCACGGCTCTATATAATACGTGTGTAAAGTGTATGGTAATCTCAGAGCTCCACCCCCACCACATTACACAGAAACAACACATGAGGAAGGAAAGAAAGGATGAAAGGAAGCCAGTGCTTTCTTAGCTGGGCATTCCTACTCACACACACTGGCTTTCTAATGCAGCGAACCTGGAAAGCAGCAGCAGCAGCAAGCAAATGATGATCTAACCCGGTAGTAAATTATAAAAAACTATGAAAAAGATGCAGCACTTGGGGTAGTAAAATAACTTCTTAAGCTGTAGGATATTACAAGGCAGGAGAGTACTTTCCTCTGATCCCTAGATGGGTTCTGGCAGCTGGCTGCAGGGCCTTGTTGGAATCCATAAAGTTAGGTGAGCCACAAGGCTGCTGAGACCAACATTTGTGATCTGATGTGAAATCTGGGACTTCAGTGTGCCCCAGTAGATACAGTGTTCCTCACACTGAGGAGGGGAGACTTGCCAACTTGTCACCCAGTCACGTTCTTTTATCTAAATTGGCCAAGGCCGTGGGAATTGAGGCAACCGCAGACAGAAGGGAAGCCTGCGTCCCTGCTCTTCAGCTAAGACGGGGGACACTGGTGGAGGGAGAGGAGGTGGGCTTGGGGATATGTCACCATACAAAGGCTCGGTGCCGAGCACTGGCGTATTTCTAGTTTTAGACAAAAAGCAAAAAGTTAACAAAAACCAAGTATCCCAGCTTTTTTCCTTCAAACACTGCTGAGCTTTGGCAATTTTAAGAACAAAAGAATGAATGGCATACCAATTAACATGCAGTTAATGTTGCCGTTCTAAGTAGCAAGCAAATCTCAAGAAGTGAGCAGCAGCACAGCCAGCAAGACGGGAGGCCACTGACCAGCACAACTGCGGGGTGAGCAGCCCCACACCTCGGCCACATTGCAGTTCAGAAGGGCGCAGGAGCCTCGAGCGGCCAACAGCACCCTTTTGAGGGGCGGGGGCCGGGCGGGGTGTGTCTCTGTGCTAAGGACCAGTTATCTGAAGGGCACCACACCAGGACTCTTCCTAAAGAAAGAGACTTCCTAGTGAGAAGAGCAATTGGATGGAAGATACAGGATCACCCCTGTCAGGATGCAACTACCAGTTCTGAGTGGATGGCAGGGATTTGCATGGACTTTTCTAGATCAGAGAAGGTTTCTAAAAGTGCTTGCCTTTTGAGCCTTTCTCATTCTTATGAGGATAGATAAAGGGGAAGAAGATCAGTTGGCGATATTTAGGAACTTGCATCTGTGTACCACATTCCTATGCCAGTGTTAGAAGGCCTCCCAGTTTACTGTTGGCCCGTATTGCCTCTCCCATAAGTTTGAGCTAAAATTAGTGGATTTAAGTACAGTCCTCAAGACAGATCTTTGTAAGTTTTAAATATTCTCCTCTGCTATCTTGAAATGTCTTGTGGGTTGTCTGTCCATGTGTGTATGTGGAAGGATAGAGGGTATGCTTGTCAAGCCTTCTTAACACTACATTTTGGTCAGAGACATGAAGAACAGATCAACTGTTTAAATGCATAACTTGTTTAGTGAAATCTCTTTTGTACTAAGGACTGCTTCAATGTCTGAAGAAACTAGACTTTCTGAAAAGCAAATAGATGCCTGAAGACTGTGTTCCTATAAATGGGACTCAACATGCCTTGGGTTTCACACTCCTGGAAGTTCCTGGGACAATGGACAAAAGTCACAACAGGATGCCCAGGAGTATCCGTTGTTCCCACTGTTCTTTCAAACAATGCAATCCTGTGTTTGTTTTAACACTCTACTGAAATAATAAACCTGATTGCCGGAATCACTGCTGTCTAAACTGGACCCTTGGGTTCCATAGGCACATAGGCTTCTTGAACATTAGGCCCCACTGTGCCAGTTGCGTCTTCACAATCACTCCTCTTTCCACACCAGGCCAGCAAGGAGGTGACAGGACGAATAGGGCAGCCACGGCCTTCAAAAGACCTATTGATCTAAATCACTTTTTCGCTGTGCTGAAGGGAAATTGACTATCAATTCAATTTATGACCTTGGTTGATAAACTAATTCATTGCAAAGGCCCAGCCCCAAAGACCATTCAAGTCATGGTTGCTGTGTCTGTATCTTTAGATAACTATTTAACTTAAAGAGCAATTCTCTAGGGTGGCTGCATGGCAGAACCTCTCTTTTGAAGGACAATTAAAATTATTTGAATTAAATGATTGTTTTGCCAATACCATGGACATCTGCAAATGTCCATATACTTGCAAAGGGACTAAGGAATTGACAAGTTTCTGACCACAGCTCATTCCTACAGCAGGTAGAAAAGTAAGGACTGTAAAAGCATTTCGAGCTGGAGCCATAGGTGGGTCTACCCACTTTACCAAAACTGCAGGAAAGGTTTGGAATGATGACATCATTAGCTGACCTCATTTTGTGTCTGAGGGGACCCTGACCACCAGTGGGGTCCTGACTGAGACAAGTGCTCCCTAATCTTCATCTGACAGGGCGAGGCGAGGCTTCATGCCATGCAGAGTCCCAGCTTCCCTCAAGCACAGGCTTGCAGTCTAGGCAATCAGCTGAACCGTCAGGAGGCTCTAGGGCGGTGGGAAAGGAAATCTATGGTCCCGAGTCAAGGCTCCCAGGGCTCTGCCCAGCCTTGGAATTCACACTGAGACCCTCAGTGTACACACTTCCAAATAGGGTCTGAAGCATGGGTGACAACTGTTGCCCACATTTTTTTTCTCTCCTTTTAAAAGTTTGACGAGTTCTGTGGATGTTACTGTGTGAAAGGGATGAATCTAATGGAGATTCCAATCCTCAAAACAAAACCCAGCAACCTACTGACCAAGAAAAGCAGCAGAAAGAAGCAGAGGAGAGCAGACAGGATTTGTAGTTCAGAATGGTCTCTTCCAGGTCTCAGCCAACAGCACAAAGTCACCTCACTGAGAAATCGCCTCGGAGACCCACAGACAGACACAAACACAGTTGGCATTAAAACTGCAGAGATCAGAGTAACTTCCAATCCACTCTGTTGCATGCAGAGGCCAAAGGGACCTAACCTGCACAGAACAGGTCGGTTGCTACCCCGTTAAGATAAGCCCTCCCCTGGGCGGTATTGGTTGAACTTATTTGCTGTTGCTGTTATAAAAGCCAGATGCTTACTTCCACAGAAGAAAGTTATTTTACATAAGAATGAATGTTTGTAAATATCAGGAATATTAAGACTAACAATCTTTAAAATTAGTTTTCTAATTGCATTTTAACTGCATGTTGTGCTTTTTATCCTGTACTCCCCTACCCTGCACTATTTTATAACTGAAAATCCAGTTCTGGCCACCATTGCAAAGGCTGAGGAAACTCCCACAGGAGTTTGCTTGGGTTTTGAGCACTGAATTCCTCCAAGAATGCTGCGCCAACACTAGTGAAGTGCAACGGCTTATCGTCATCCTCAGCAACGTGGTGTCCTTCATCAACTCCAGGGACTCCCTACTCGTGAAGTAACCCACTGCCGGCACCACTCACACACCAAGGTTGGGCGGGCTGCACGGGGAGCGACTGCTGAGAGCCTCTCATGCACTGACCTGCCGTCCAGGACTGAACTGAACTATCTAGGAAAGGAGAAAGACAACAGGAATACACTGAGAAGTCACATAGTTCAACAGTATTAAAAATAACCACCTTGCACTTTAAACAATTTATTGCATAAAATAATGCATGTATCTAAGTATATTTCATGCTAGAGTGAAAACAATCTAAATTACTAAAGAAACTGCACTGCTGGAGGACGAGGGCAGCACTGCATGATACTGGATACATAAATGCATGTGTTGGGTTCATTTTTAATAAAATATGCAGCCTAAGACTAGCACAGTAACTCAACAAGTCAGAAATGCTGGAATTTAGTATTTCCTATCTTCCATCCAAAAGTCTCCAAATGCTTCAGTGATGCACTGATATTTGATGTAAATTCTTGCAACAATAATGACTCTCTTGATTTATGTAAGTTGGCATATGTTAGGCTACATCCCCAAACATCTTTTCTTGCATGATCATGGGGAACTCTCCAGGGTATTCCTTGGGCCTGATAATAATCCACAGGTGAAAAGACAACATACAGAACTTCACGTAAAACAGTTCCCTCATATATATTTTAAACATTAAGATAGTGCAACTTTTAAAAACACATCGTCACAACACAAATTAACTCCTTGCATTCATCTAACTTCTCCACTTTATACCTTGGCACACAAAACAGGAATTTTGAATCATATTTTTAAAACAAAATAAAAGTTCCACACCTTGGGAGAAAAAGCAAACTGGCCAATTCTTCCCCATGATAATATATAATAATGCTTCCTTCTTTATTCAGTTAATTATAAAACAGGCCATTCTGGCCTCTTTCTCTTCAAAGTCTCCTTTCATAATTAAATAAATCAAATACCTCTGTGGGTTTTATTTCATGATATCTTCAAAGCATCCCTTTCTCTGTGTTCCCATGCCCACCCTTTGCCAAAACCATCCCCCGTCCCAATGCCTGCCCCCAAATAAACACTGTTTGTGGTCAGACCAAATGGAAGTTTGTATTATTTCAGTCTAGTTTGCATGCAATTCCCCTGAAAGGAATCAGAAACAAAGACCACATTTGCACATTTGGTTTTACTTAGTTGTAGCACGTAAAACTGAACATTGTGCTTGGGAGCGGAGGGCAGTGCAGCCCTTCTCCCTCCTCACTTCCTTCCTCCTCAACTCAAATGCACATGGGAGGGTCAGACGAGGTTCCCAGGCTTCCTGTCTTTGCCCTGGATGGGCAGCACTGTGCTCCCAGAGCTGTCCTGCTGAAACGGCAGTCTGCTCCCCCTGTGCGCGCTGCTGTGCTGGTGGTGGAAGAAAGAGGCGCCCGGGTAGTGGCCCATCACCTCGCTGTACGTCGGCGGGGGCCCCTCCATTCTCCCGTTACTGCTGCAGGTGCTGGCACTTACGCCTGAATTGCTGCTGGGTGGGCACGGGCCCCCACTGTACACAGAAATGTCTATCAAATCGCTGTCAAATATGGTTCGGTTGGGTGGGGCCCTCACAGACTCTCTGTTGAGTTCCATCTGCTGTTCAGGGTCCCGGAGCTGCAGGGTGCAGGGCCCCTGGTAAGGAGGTGGCTCCTCACCGTCGGACAGGGAGATGGTAGGAGGAAGGTCAATCTCATGCTGCACATAGGGGTAGGTGGGCTGGAAGCGGCTGAACCGATCCCTCTGGATAAAGGACGGGGCAGTAAACCTGTCCCTGGACCGCGGGGCATACATGATCTGCAAGGAAAAGAGGAAAGGCTTGAAGACATTCTTGGCACAATAAAGACCATGAATGTGATGGTATCAAGGAAATTCATGCTTGGTCTGTGTTCTCACCCATCTGAAAAATTTTTCCCAGACAAAACAGGGAAAGACTATTCCAGAAAAAAAATGTAGTTTTCTTATTCCTCATGACTTACACCACTCATCTTGCCAAACTACAGTTTATCCAGAATGGTGCAACAATGGACAATTGTGGTTAACTGAAAATTTGGGTTTTCATGGGAGTTATTGCGTATGCTATGTATACATTTCCCACTAGTTCAAATAGAATACAACAGTAATTTCTAGAGTGCAGTAAACAGTAATGTAGTGGAGGGGCATTGTGCAGACAGGACTCTGGTCCTGTCCACCACGTGACCAGGCCTCCACTCCTTTACCTAAAAAATAAGAGGACTGGCCCACCTGCTTTCTCAGGTCCCTTCTAGATGTCGCACCTGTGATGGAGAAGAGTGGGGAGCAGCTCAGAGTTTTCATTATAAATATGTTATAATTTCCCATAATGGTACTTGGAGCAGGTATGAGGCATTGGGTCAATTTATGAATTATTTATAGGAGCTTGTTGCCCTATCAATTACTTTTAAAAAATATGGAACAAGTGACTTCTTTTTCTTTCTGGTTTCTAGTCTTTTCTAGTTATTTCTTTCTGGATAAAAGTTTCCTGTAGTTATTTTTAGTAACTGACATGAAAAATGTTTTCTATTCCAAAGTAAATATGATTATAGATTTTTTTTCCAAAATGAATCCAGGTACTATATTTCTTAAATAATCTTCTCATCTATTCCACCATCCAAGTTTCTTCTAGAGGAAAGATATTTTACATATATACACACACATATATATGTGTGTGTACACATACATACATATATATATATCCATTGACTTCTCTCATACCATATTTTTTACTTAAAAGCAAAACACTATGTTATTTTTAATGTCATACTATTAAACTTGGAGATGTGGGAATGAATCATACTACGATATTTATAAACTATGCCCACATCTGCCAGACCTCATTATTAGCAGCTTATAGGATCATGTAAAGATCAGTGACTCTCAATCTGTTTCTGTAAGGAGCTTTAGACTAGCACAGATAATCCCTAGGAGATTCTAGGAAAAAACCCATCCCCCACCTTTTTAACCAAAGTTACAGGCATATGCCTTAATTTAAATGTGTTATTTCTTAATCTATGCTGTAATACATTTAACCTCTCCACCAATTTTGTTGCAATGGTTTATTTCCCTCCTCCCCCCCCCTCCTGCCACCCACACCCCAACCTTGTCCACTCCCTTACCTCTGAGGCACCTGGCCGAGGTCCAGAGCTGTCTGAAGGCCACAGGCGCCCTTCCTGGCAGTAGAGACGGGGACAAGAAACATCATAAGAAAATCATTAGTTTCATACAGCAGCACCCAAAATTAAGGGATCACATTCCTCTTTGATAGTAGCAGACCTGCTTAAAACCCCGAATGACAAAGAACTGGTCCTTTATTACACCTACCATCTAAATGGAGAATTGTGACCAAAAGGAAAAGTTAGGAAGTTAGGGTTACAGCCAAAGTAAATTTGAAATAGACTGGATATGAAATAGATTTGAAGTCAAACGTCTTTCAATCCATGTACTTGTATGTTTGAAATACATTCAATGTGTCATCAAACTGTATTCAGTGACTTCTGGACCAGGGTCGGGCCTGGGTGAATTCAGCTCTCATGCAGAGGCCTACCCCACACAAAGGTGCGTCACCACAGCCGGCTAAGCGCCAGCCAAGGCCCTTCTGAATTGCGACTCAGCTTTGAGTTAAGCAGCAGCAGAAGAAAGGGACTGCCCAGCCACACTGGTTGGCTTTCAAACTGAAAACTGAGTTTCCAAAGCTTGAATGCCCTTCAAGCATCTTCTAGTGAATTTATTCTTCGTCTGTATATTCACAAGGCAGTGTAACTTGACATCTAGTTGCTTAATATCTTTTTTCAAAAATGTTTGGCCAGACTGACAAGGTGACAGGCAAATAGCAGGCATTATTAAGCCATCATTTCTTACACCATAAACTTGTTTACAAAGCATTTCAATATGTTATCCCTTTTGAATCCAAATTGTTGGCTATTAGCAAGGGTCTGTTGGGCTGCTGGCTAAAGACCTGTCACTGTAATAAAGCGAATAAGAACTCTTGAGGGGAAGCAGATGCCTGTATTTTTGGACACCCAGGAATATGCATACATGGCCTTGTGCGATCACTGAGCCTCCTGAGAGCCCACACGTGCCAAGGTAGACCCACGAGGGAAAATACCCCTCAGTCTAGGAAAATACCCCTCAGTCTGTAGACCCAAAGGCCCATTCTCTCTTGCTCCCTTCTGTAGGCCTGCATTCAGTACAAATACCCCCTTCACTGCTAAACAGGGCGTTTGTCCAATAGATACAATCTGTTCCTAAGACACTCGCAGGACATTATGGAATCAGCAGCAAAAGTATCCACGGACCCAGCTGCATTTAGAGGAAGTCTGCGCCTAAGGTCTGACTATAAAGTTATATGATGAGCCATTACAGCTCTGGCATGGTGACAGACCAAAGGCGAGTCTGATGAAGTGGCTGACCCACAACTGCGGGCAGCCTTCACTGGGCGAAGGCGGCTTGTACAGCACTTCAGAGCATGTGTTCCTCTGGGTCAAAGTGAAACAATCACCATAGTTCTGGGTTGTTGTAGCGACTCTCATATTGAAAATAGTATAAAAATTCATCCTCCCATGTTTCTACAAGTCATGATTCCATCCTAGCTCCTCTTCCTCTCCTTCAAACTGCAGCTCGGTGCCACTCCTGCCCACCAGACACCTCACTGATGTCCAGTTCTAACCTTCCATCCTGAGAACTGGCACCAGGTGACAGCAAAAGCAGCAGATTAAAGCACAGTGTGCAGCGTAATGGCCAGAGATAACACCACCAAATGAAGTGGGAGGGAAGTGACCCAGAAGTAGGGGGTTGCACATTTTCTGATAATGGCAATAACCATCCTCAATGGCTTTATTTCCCTAAAAATTAGCATACTGGAAAAATGCCTAAAAGAGACCCACATCAAGCCTTGTGCACACTCAATCTTATATTTCACCAAATTCACATCAACCTTCTTCTTATTAAATCCATTCGGCGCTTTTTGGCCCTCCTCTCACCTGTCCTCCCAGCAGCACTGCACCCTCTCGTTGACCTCAGCAACATCACCCCCTCCTGGTGCACATCCTGACTTCTCTGGCCACTCTGCCCATCCCTTGAGGGATGCCTCTAGCTCTGAGTTTTGGTTAAACGTTGGAGTTCCTCAGAGCCCTACCCTGGGCCCCTCTCCTCTCACTGTAATCTGCTTGGGCCATCTCATTCTGTCCATGGCTTACAGGGCCATCCTCATGGGGATTGGGTCTATATCCGGCCCCACCTTCTCCCATGAGCTCCAGATGTGGCTAACTATGGGGGCCTCTAGGATTCTAATAGACTCCTAAAACTAAGCATGTCCAAAGTGGAACTCATTGACTTTTCCCCCAAACCTCTCATTCCTCTGCACTGGCGTGGCCTCATCAACTCACCATTCTCCCTCACCCCCACTCCACTTCCCTCTATTGCCACCATTACTATTTTAATAATGACAATTTATTTAACTGTTCACTGACAATTGCCCCTCCCCCCCGGTCTTATTCATTTTATGGGAGACTTATTTTTCAGGCCTTTCACCCATGTGATACATAGGAGACGTTAAAACTACAAAGCCTACAAGAGGCTGTGGTGGCATTGGTTAAGAAGCTGTCATTCCAGTTCTGTGCCCAGTGCTGATACGTAGAGAATCCAGACCTGGAAGATGACCAGAGTTCTAGAAAGGCTGGATCTCAGCCGTCCCAATAGTTATGAACCCGCCTAGCACTAGATTCATGCCACAACCTGCTCTGGCCACTCCCCTCTGGGCTGTCCCATACTGCCCATTGCCAGATCACCCTTGTTAGCACTAAACTGCTCACGCTGCTGGTGGAGCCCACTGATTCTTGCTCTCCTTGGTGAGGTGAAGTCCTCTGACTATGATCTGACTCTGTGACCAGCATTCTCTAAGGGCCCTGTACCATCTGAGAGACTGCAGATAGCTAAACTCAAAGATGTGGGCCCTCTTGTCTAGACCCCTTGGTTTCTTCATCTTCAAATGCCAGCGATGACATTTTCAGGGAGAAGGGGACTTGTCATATGGTTAGCATCTACTCAAATGGCAGCATTTCTGGATCCTCATTATGAAACCAATTTTTATCTCACAATGAAGGGTCTAATGTTCTTGGCTAATGCTTAGTTCATTACATTGTGTTATACTTGGAATAAGCTGTGAAATAAGATAATACTTAAAGTAGTTCACAGAATTTTGAGTAATAGGAACAAAATATTGCCAATATTTTTATACAGGCTTCAATGCATTCCCTCTCTAATAACTGTTTCTTCATAAGAATACCAACCAAAAGGAAGGGAAGCATCCACCCGTCTATTCATTCATTACTTTACTATACGTCTACTGAATACTTCCTAGCAGCAGATCTCGATCCTTTTCCATTGCAACACGAGAGATGATGTGCACACATAACCCGACAGGTACTGTGCCATGCCTTCCCATAGGGTATGCAGTGGGGGCACAGCAGGGGGTCTGTACAATCCCCAGGGTTAAGCTGACACTCTGACCCCCTTGTTCTACTTAAGAAAGCATTCTGGAATGCAAGTGAGTTAGCGTGACATCACTCTAGGGATCACTTTGAATCAATTCTAGTTTATTTTTTAAGGTATATTATTCTCAAATCACTCATGTTTTATCTATTATTAGTACCAGTTATTTGAGACACACATTAAAACTGAGCAGGACACATGGGGGACTGTCACACCTGCTCCAGGAAGCTTACAAGAAGGGCATCCAATCTTGGGGGTGAAGGAAGTAGGCCTCAGAGCCCTCTCTGTATGTGCAGTGCCTTGCATGCATGTTTCTTATTCTCTAGTTTTCTCCCTGGAACAAAGGCCCTGTAACAAGAAAGGTAATGAGCGATTATCTGATGACAACTTAATATTACCCGGATGGATGACACAGCTATTGACACAGATGTGGATCTGTAAGGGCAAGTGGACTTGGAGCTGGGAAAGCCCTAGACCAGAATCTTGGCCCTGCCACTCTTCAGTCTGTGACCTCAGGTAGCTCACTTAGTTTTTCTAAGCCTCATTTTCCTTCTTTGTAAAAGGTTGTTGTGAGGCTCAAGTACAACAATGTGCTTAAATTCCTTAGCACAGGGCCTTGCAGAGAAGTATTCAGTCAACGCAGCTCTTAGCATTACAGACAATGGTTACCGGCTGTTATACACAACTAAAGAGGGGGTGATTTTCAGTTATCTCTTTTAAAATAATGAGTTCACTGAAATTTCCTTGTTTGTTTATTTACAAGATTATCTATTCCAAAGGTGGCATTTTGAATGGAAAGGTTGGAAGCATGCGAGAGGCTTAAGCAAAGTTGCATTTATCTCAGATTTCTTCAGGACATTTCTCAGTCGGGATTCCTAAACCTGATTCCTAAAACCAGCATTACTCACGAGACTCCTCACGGCAAGTTCTTCTCCACAGCTTCCCACGACTCAATTTCAGCACAACCCCAGGTGCTACACGGAATGAAGGCCCACAGTTGCATGACTCTCTGTGCTCTTAAATCGTTAGCTCAGCCTGGCAACTGGCTGCCCCCTGAGGAAATCACCATGAGAACAGACTTCGGCAGAGATTACCTGTGCCATGCCCTGCTCCTTCTGATGTCATGAGGTGGACGCAGGGAGACAGTAGGCAGGTTAAAGAAACAATTTTATAGCATTCAATTTTGTGACAAACTTTTATTTTCTCTTGTATCTTCTTTTATTTGCTAAAATGAAATCTTTATTGTGAATGAATACATTGTGATTTGTCACTCTCCTGCTAGTGTAGTTACTGTCAGGTGATCACTCACGTTTGACCATCTCTGACTAGGGTGACAACACTTTCTTCTGAATCTGCAAGGCTGTGGGCAGAGCCTGGACCACAGTAAACATGCTGAGGGAGAGGCTTTCCCCTGTGACAGTGTCCTCCAGCCTAGGTACACAAAAACCACAATCACACACGCACGCACACACATGAGTGCACACGTGTAGTTTGTCTCCCATGCTAAGTGCACTTTGAATCATAAAGTCTGGAGCCCTGGCCTCCCTGGCTTGGCCCTGGAAGTTGCTTCCATGGGCGCACTGGTGAGCAAAGACACTAGGACCCAGGCCTATGAATCCCTTTGACCACCCTGAGGAGCTGGCGGGTCACCAAGGGGCTCTACTGAATCTAATCTTGTGGA